AATATGGCCACCGTCCTGCATGGCTGCAACTCAGCAAAAGCTCTGAGTGCCCTCCAAATCTCGAGTCTCCCCACACAGTTCCAGTCCAGTCTGCCTTCCCTCTGCTGGAGCCCAAGGTGAGTGGATATCGCTATTTCAGCGTCTGTCCTGGCTCTGCACTGTGGAGCCACTTGGGAGTGTAACTCGAGGGCCCGCTCACAGCTAAGGCCACTGCTCCCAGCTAAGGCTGCTGCCGAGCTGCCGACTGTGGGCTGCCAGCCCTTGTCTTGCGCCTTCACAATCCTACCAGGATTGAGTCAGTGTCCCTGGTTATATGGTCCTTGCAAGCTGCTTTTCTGTTGCTTTTTTTCATCGATATGTCTCTGTTTTAGTTGTAATTTCAGTTTGGTCCTGGGAGAAGGTTTGTGTAGCTTCCATTCACTACGCCGCCATTTTGGAATCCCAGATTTATTTTTTTTTTAAAAATTTTCCTTTGACTTCTTCCCTGTCCCATTGGTTGCTCAGAAATGCATTGTTTAATATCCTTGTTTTTGTGAGTTTTCTAGTTTTCCTCCTGTTGGTGACTTCTTTAGTTGCATACTACTGTGGTCTGACAAGACACTTGGAAGTTTTTGAATATTTTTATATTTTAAGACTTGTTTATGTATATCCTGTTTGCAGGCTTTGGACAACAGGCTGCTCAGGACTAATGCAGGGATGGTCAGGTGTGCAGACAGTAAAACTGGGTGACAGCTGGCACCTCCACTAAGGAATGAGTGGTCAAACATAGTAAAGGGGAACATAAACAGAAAAGATTCTGTTAATCATTTAAAAATGTCTTCAAAAGGCAATGGACTCGTGAAAGCAAAATAATAACAATATGCAGCTGAGCTGACAGTTTAGGAAATGTACACTGTAGAACAACAGTGATGCAGAAGGTGTGAGGAGGAAGCGATGATACCATGTTACAATCTTACCATCCTTGTGATATGATAGAACATCCCCTGCAGGTGGGCAGGATGAGTTAAAGGTGCACATTGTGAATTGTGGAGTGAACACTGAGAAAGTAAAAGGAGGTACAGCTAATAAAGCAATAGTTGAAATAAAATGGAATTTGGATAATTCACACACACAGGCACACACACAAAGCTGAGAAAAGGAGGGAAGAAAGGACAAATGGAAACAAGTAGCAAGAGGATGAATTTAAACAAAACAATCTCAATACTCATATTATATGTAAATTGTTTTAATGCTTCAATTATACAACAGTCAGATTGGGTAAAAAGCAAGATCCAACTGTATGCTGTCTACAGGAAATCACATTTTAAATATAAGGACACATTTCTGGATGGTTTGGCTCAACAGTGAGAGCATCAGCCTGTGGACACAAGGGTATTTGGTTTGATTCCTGGTCTAGGGTATGTACTTGGGTTTAAGGTTTGATCCTTGATCCAGTCAAGGTATGTGCAGGAGGCAACCAAACAATGTTTTTCTCTTTCTCTCTCCCTTCCTTCTTTCCACTTTCTCTAAAATCAATGCAAAAATAACTTTGGATGAAGTTTTTTTAAAAAAGAAAAATACACCGTGCGCAGATTGGACACATGAAACCCGCAGTCGCTGTATTACCGTCAGACAAAGTGGCTCAGAGTACTGGCATCATTACATCTGGATAAAGAAGGGCCTTTCAGAACAATACATAGGTTAATACATCAACAAGACAAGGACACTGAGTGTGCCTCATAAGTGACTGAGCTTCAAAAACACAAGAGAAGCTCAAAATTCAAGAATTGGCCACGGCACAGTCAGATGGAGACACAGAGCATCCACATTCCCAGTGGAAGGTTTCAGTTCTGGATGTTATTTTCTCCTTTTCCTAAACTGAGCACAGAAACAAGAACAAAAGCCGGTTTCCGGATTCACATTTCTGTTCCCCCAACTCTGAGTTGTGGTTTCATTTCCACATTTCCCACAGTCTTTCCTGAGGAGGTTGCTGCAGGGACACAGGGAGTCTTGACTGTGTTTTGGTCCCTGACCCTGGGCAGTGTGTGGCTTGGTGTGTACCCTGTAAGTTTTCTAGGTCTCTGTTTCCTTCTTCATTAGAAACCGTGTTCCCTCTCCTGTTTCAAAGAGAGCAGGTTCCCTGAAATCACTCTGAGTGGTCCGAGCATGAGGCTGTTGACAGCCTTGTGGGAATGTGACCCCGGGGTGTTGCCAGGGTTATGGGAGGCTGATTCCCAGCTTCACCTGGATGATGTCTGGCCCTGACCAAGACACTGCTCTCAGATCTTTCAGGAAGAGGCTGAATTACACCAGGAGTAGCTGATCATGCCCTCAGGGTCAGCGTGTCATTTCTGAGGGGTGGGCACTGGCCAAGAGTGAGCAGAGACTGGAGTTATCCCTTCTTGAGCAAGGTCATCTGTCCTCTGAGTGGAAAGAAGTGAGAGAGTGTGGGGACCAGGGGACAGACATGGGGTGGGGACCATTATCCACTTTTCCCTTCAACAGAGGAGATTAGCTTCCTCAGTGGGTAGAGAAAAGGGGGCAATGGCCATGTACTCCTTTCTTCTCCATCCTTCAGTGACAGTGGGTGTCTTCCGAACCCAGAAAAGGCCCTTTTCAGATGTGGAATCCAGCCTTGGAGGGCCTTCAAGAAGGCCTTATCCCAGATTCCAATGACCTTTTAAGGGGTGGTAACACTGCTGAGGGGGCAGGGCAGAAGGTATTTCTGTTCTTTCTTCATTAGGGAGTTCTGGCTCGATTCCATGTGGTCCCAGAGCACATCCCACGTGACTTCACTTCTCTGAAACATCTGACATTTGTTCTATGGCTCAGCATCTGGCCTATCTTGGTATATGTTCCATGTGCACCTGAAAAAATGTGTCTTCTACAAATACCAACTTCTACAATATTAATTAGCTCTGTTGATTGAGAGTGTTAAGGGAATTCTTCTAGGTCCCGGCTCATTTTCTATGGAGCTGTTCTGTCCATTGTTGGGGGGTGATGTCTCTAACTACCATTGTGGGTTTGTCTGTTGCTCCTTTCAGTTGTCAGTTTCTGCTTCACATGGGTTGCATCCCTGCTGTTGGGAAGACACCTTTAGGATTGCTCTGTCCTCTTGGTGGAGTGGCCTCTATATCACTATACAGTGTTCCTCTCTGCGCCTGGTAATTTTCCTTGTTCTGATGTCTAATTCATTTGCTGCCCATACAGCCATGCCTTCTTCCTTTTGCATGAGTAAGATTTCCACCATTTATCTTTTCCATCCTTTCATTTCCAGCCTGTTTCTACCAAAATATGTTAAAGGACTTTTCTGTAAGCCGGGAATGGTTGGCTCATGTGCTTTAATCTCCTCTGCCAATCTCCGTCTGTCACTTGTGTAGGCAGCAAACCCACTCCCTTCCCTAATGAGTCCTGGATTGCAGCCCCTGTGCGGTGTGCCTGTCCCCTGGGAAGCCTGAGTACTCTTTTTACCTTCCCACCAGCTCTGTTGCTGTCCCCTGGGGACTCTCTAGGCTCCTTTCCTCCCCATCAAAGAGCAATAAGCAAATATTTCATGCTAACACCAGACACGGTGCTATTCACGTTTCTCATTTTATTTCACTAGTGATTATGTCGTTTCTCAGCAAAGGGACTGAGGTAGGTTTTCCTGTGTGTTCCTTGCAAATATTGACCAGTGGACAAGACCAAAGTCAAGGTTCCCTATCAGTGCCTCCCCTGGGATTGGTGCAAAAACTCTTGAACAACAATGACCTTGGCAGCAGAGGCAAGGTCAAGTCTCCGCATTTGCAGTGGCGTTCCCCTTTGTGGTTTCCAGGCCAGTTTGTGGGCCTCTTGCTCCAACATGTGCTCAGCTCTTGCAGATTATTGTCCCCTGTCATGTGTCTTTAGAGATCTGAGGGCAGCAGTGACTTGGGAATACTGTAGGGAAGACATAGAATTAGCCAGCTCATGGGAGGTGAGCGTGAGTGTGTGTGAGGGTGGAGACGCTGGGGCTGAGCAGGTGTGGGTGGAGACATGAGCCTGGCTCACCTGGCTCCTTTCCCTGGACCAGAGAGCTGACTCCACTAGATTGCATGGGACAGAGGGGAGGCTCTGCCCACGATTGTGTCACCAGTTTTCAGCCCACGAAGACCTGTTTATCCTTAACTTTGAGACTGAAATAAAAATTTCCAAACCTTCTCTTTAAAAAAAATTTTTTTATTTATCTGAATTGAAAAGCCTATCCTCACACTATGAGTTGTCCGGCAGTGGGAAAATTCTCTGGAAGTAGACATTCTGTGAGTCTCAGCGGCTCCTAGGAACTTGAGTTTCTAGTTCAAGTGTCCTTGGACTTGTAGAAGCCTCTGCACTCAAGCGGCTAATGGATGTGAATGGGGACATAGGGGAGATGTCCCCTAATGGGACAGATGGATAGGTCTTAGTGTCTTGTCTTCTTATGGGCTCACCCCCCCACTGCTTGTGTGCCTGTGTGTCTGTCTGCACGTGGGTTGTGGTTTTTGCAGGTGGGCTAAGGAATGACAGGGCAGTGTCTTTGTTCAATGGGCATATAAGGCGGATGGACAACATCTACAAACATTGATTCCCGTGAACACAATGTGGACATTTAGGACATTTTTTTCATTCAATTCAGATTCAACTAAAATCAGTGGGTCTGAATTAAGGCTGCCTCTAGGCACTGGCCCAAGGTCCCCTTGCAAGACAAGGAAAAATTCAATGACAGGGGACAGCAGCCTGAGGTCAGAGGAAAACAGGCAAAAGCAACAGCAGTTGTTTGGTGTGAGACAGAGAAGAGCTCAGGGTGGCCCAGGTCACATGGGCAGGATTGGTGGGGGAGATGGGACCCAGAAGGATTTTGTCCTTGGTAGATGACTGCTGGTGAGGGACAAGGAAATGCTGCGGGACCTGGAGGCCAGGACACCAGGGAAGGATGTGATTGTCACTTGGTAGGTCAGAGTCCTGTTTATAGTCTGTCACTTAGGAGGGACTTCAACAGTGGCCTTGAACCAGTAACTGGAGAGCAGTCAGTGAGCCAGGAGCAGGCTGCCCAGCAACAAGGCCATAGGCAGCTTCCTTGTCGCCATCCACTTGGGCAGCCAACCTAGCAGCCAGCATCCCCGCCACCCCTGCTTGTGGCTGGCCAGTGCCTCTGCCACCCTTAACTGCCGCTCCTTCGGGGTCCTGAAGGCCAGCTCCTGCAGCAGGCGGCACACGTCATTGGAGTAGGGGACGGCCTCATGGTCCTGAACCAGGTGCTCCACCAGCGCCAGCAGCTCCTGCACCTGGGCCTCCTGCTCCCCTCCCGCAGCCTGGTTGTCAAAGGCACAAATGCGGCCCCTGCACTGGGCCACCAGTGCTCGCAGCTCGCGGTTGTCTGTGTCACACACAAACTCCTGCAGGGACCCCCCGGCCAGGTCCTTCTTATGCGTGAACAACAGGATGGTGAGCCCCAGCACATCATTCGGGAGCAGGTCCTTGAGTGTGTACATGGCCTGCTGGTCCTGCGCAGTGAAGCAGCCCAGCTGAGTCACCAGGAGCAGGGCTGGGGGCCCGGGAGCCCACAGCACGTAGCAGTGGGCCCATTCCTCACACCCCATGTCTGTCTTGGAGACTTGGGAGCTGAAAAGGTCCGGGGTGTCCATCACTTCTACATGCCACCTGTCCCATGGGTGGTTCTCCGCCTCGCAGGTTCTGGTCACCGAAGTGGCTCCCAGCTTGGAGAGGAAGCGCTTCTGGCGCAGGATGCTGTTCCAGGTGGCGCTCTTCCCGACCCCTGTCTTCCCCACCAGGATGAGCCGCAGCCGGGGCTCCTGCGTGGGCTCTTCCCAACCTGGAGGACAGTGATCTGTGAGCTTCCAAACCTGAAAGCACCTGATCCTGGTTACAGGGACCCCCGGAGCCCTTTGAACAAGGAGAGCAACAGCGCCTCCCTCTGCTCGTCCAGCCAGACCCTTACTGAGGCCATTGCTCAGAGCACGCTGAACTCCGGGGTCTCCTCCAGCCATTCCTGTCATCTGGCTTCCCCACCGGCACCTGCAGATGCTCCCCACCTGGTGGGCATTTCTCTAGGGGACGCTCTTCACAACTCTAGGCCGACCTCAGCTGCATTATCCCTGGTCATCCACACCGTGTGGAGCTGTCCCTATCTGAGACTTCAGTGGCCTGTGCCATAGTTTCCCCAGATTCCAGCCCACAGAAGATGGGAAGGAGGCAGTAGGCCTGAGGGTGAGGGTCTGTCTGGACTCCCAGATACTCTGGACTTGACTCACACTCTGCCACCGGCCAGCTGTGCCCCCTTGGAAGTAGCTTAATCTAAGTGTTAAACCTTTGTGCAAAAATGGGAATATTACATAGAGTTGTTTCTCCTGGGGTTGTTGAGAGAATTAGGTGAGTTCACCTTCTTCCTTCTTCCTTCTGTCTTTCTCTCCTCCTCTGTCCCCTCTTAGGCCTGCTGCCTATTAATAAGAAACCCGTTCAACCCCCATCCTGGTTCACTACCACTCCACCTGGTGAATCACGCTCCCTCTAGGGCATGGTCTGGTGCCCTCTGCATCCTCTTCTGTGGGGACCAGCATAGGTTTGATCTCATTTTACAGTCTGGGAAGGGAGGCACCGTAGTCAAAGAAGTCATATCTCCCAGCTGGACTGGGGCAGAGACCCAGCTGAAAGCACATCTCAGGACTCTTACTCTTTGACCCCAGACACCTCAGAGACCCTTTTCGGGCTGTCTGTTCAGTCCTCAGTTCACCCATTCTCCTCATACCCAGGGCTCACACCTGGGACAGGTGTGCAGTGTGCATGTCCTCACCATAGGTGTTTTCTTCATCTCGTGCCATCTTCCTTCCTCCCATGGTTATCTGGAAGAGTCCCAAACACAGCTTGTTCATTCATCATCCATCCATCCATCCATCCATCCATCCACCCACTCATCCTTCCAATAGGTATAAATACCTACAATGTGTGAGGCCAAATCCAAAGAGCTGGTGACACCACCATGACAAAGTCATGGTTCCTGCTTCCTCTGAACCTCAGAGCAGTGGGAAGAACATGGCAAGGACCTGGGCTGGGGTTGGAATGATACCATGAGAGGGTTGGGGAGCTTGGTTTTGTGTTTCAGGGACATGAAATGCAAGGGCAGCTGGGAGATTGCCACACTCACTCCTGTCGGTGAGAGACCTTTAGACAGTAATTCCCAGGTAATTCTATGTCGGTGACCAAAGCTGTGGACATCAGGGTTTCCCAGGAAGGTCCTCGCCCAGGAAAGACATTGGGAAACCGTGAGAACTAGAAAGGTGGCTCAGTGACTTAGAGAAACACCTGGAGGGGCTGGCCTGGGGGGCAGACAGGAGGTAAATTGAATTTTGGTTGGAATCTGGAAAAGAAACATATGTCCCAGGTGATCCAAAGCCTGTGACTCTGCTCTTGGGAAGTCAAATCATCCTTCTTTCTCAGTGTGCCTAAATGTGCTCGGTGTCCTGTAGAGACTGGTACAGTCCCCTCCAACTCCCGACATCTTGCTCCCAAGCTGAGGCTCCTCAGAGTAGGTGATTCCAGCCAATGAGTCATCATTTAATACAGTCGAATGTTCTGTGCTCACGGAGTCCTGAGCGCAGGGCAGTCTGCCCTCAGTCTGCCTCTTTCGCTCAGGACAACGACCCCCTCACTCAGATGCCCCCAGAGAACAGATGTCGGGCCTTTGCCAGCTGCCATGTGCTCTCAGGCCTGTGCTTGATCCTCTTCCTCACACCCTGTCTGAGTCCTGCGTGTGCTTCTCAGTCCTTTTCCAATTCCACCTCCTCACGTGGTCCACCTGGTTACTGCAGGTGACTACGTTCTTTCTGCACAAGGAGCAGCCAAAGGAGAGGCGGGCAGGATACCTTGTCTCTGCCAAAGGACTTAGATGACTAGCTGGCCTGGTCCTCTATGCAGAGGCGGTCCTGTTTCTGCAGGGACACCTGCCTCCAAAGCCTTCAGTCATGTTCACCCCTATTCAAATGACACACTCCCAGGACTGACAGGGACCAGGAATGGAGGAAGGGCCATGGCTGCAGAGCGGAGCCCAGGGACTGAGCTGAGGGGAGGCTCCCGGGCAAAGGTGGAGGTGTGAAGGCTCAGGGAACTCCCTGGACCTGTGGGAGGCCCTTTGGAACTTCCCACACATTTGCAGTGGGCTTTAGAAAGTTCCTGGACTGGTGCAGAGAGCTGAAAACTGGGCTTACAAACACACAGTCATTGAGGAATGGAACACCCATAGAATCCTCTACGTTACACCCCCACCGAGTCCCGGCTTCCTAAACCTCCTGTCTTGGGGTTATCTAGGGGATTCGGTGAAATGTATATTTCTTGGGGATTTCACTTCTCAAATCCACACTTTTATTTTTTTTATTTTTATTTTTTTAATTTTTTATCCTCACCCGAGGACATTTTTCCATTTTTTTGTTCAGATAGAGCGGGAGGGAGAGAGAGAGAGAGAAACATCGATGTGAAGGGACACATCGAGTGGCTGCCACCCGCACGACCAACCAGGGCCGGGGACAAACTGCAACCGAGGTACATGCCCTTAGCGGGAACCGAACCCGGGTCTCTCTGTACCGCAGGCCGACGCTCTAACCGCTGAGCCAAACCGGCCAGGGTTCAAATCCACACTTTTAGAACAAAACCACCATGCCACTCTGCTGCCTCTGGTTCTGATGTACAGGGGTCTGGATTCTGGGTCCTCGCCCCACCTGCTCCTCATGCATCGGAGCCAAGGGAGGTCAGAGCCCAGCAGCCCATAGCACCCTGGAATCTTGGGTGGGGAGCAGGTGTTTAAGAGCTCAGGTAGGACAAGGGTTTGAGACCATGGTCATGACCTTAGCCCAGCCCTGAAAGTAGCTTTGTGGACCCTCGGAGGAGAGGGGAGTGTTTAGGCGGTTCGGCCGGTACACACAGGATTTTCACTCTGTAACATGTTCTGAAGCTAGACTCACTTCCGTGTCCTCAGACAGCTCCTGGCCTGTGCCCAGCATGCTCATGGGGAGTATCTGCTGCCACTAAAGCCCTGTGCCATCAGGGGGCAAGCAGACCCCTCCTTCTTGGTCAGGGGAGGAGGGGAGGAGAGGGCTGTCCCTGAGCTGGAGCCTAGGCATCCAGGCTGGAGGAGATGCTCATGATGCTCCAGACCTCCTGTGTGAGCCCCGCAGCCCTACACAGGGGTGTGGAACTACTCCCAGGTCCTGCTGCCCTTCCTGGTTCCACTAGAACAGAGGCTCCCTCAGCCCGCTTCTTCCAGGTGCTCACAGCTCCTACTCCCTGGGAGCTCCCTTCCCCCACTCAGGCTCACCTTTCCTGCAGAGTTGGTGGCAGGCTCTGATGCTGGCCCCAGAAGCCCCTGAACTACCACTGTTCTCAGGTTGTGAGAGCTGCAGGCTGTTCCTCCCAGTACAAGGGGAAGTGTCCCGCCTCTCAGACCTCAGAGGGCAGAAGCCCGGGGAGGTGGGGCCCAGGGGTGACAACTCTGAGGCAGGGGGGATGGGAAGTTTCCACTGTGCAGCCCTGCCATGGTTTATCCTGATGTTCTCAGAAGGTCCCTTGATGCCAACACCTTGTCCCCACAGTGGCTGTACCCTCAGAGGAGAAAAGCCTTTAGGTTTTTGAGGCTTGTTTCCACTTCTGGCTTTGATTGTTAATCTTGTTTTTGGTATTTTTCTATAAAATGGCCCCTTGAGGGTCCCCTTCCCTGAAACAGTGCCACCAAGTGTTCTTAACCACTAGAGATCACATGCGAGGTCTCACTGTGTCAATGGAAGGAAGGTTTTCCAACTGTGAACAATGGGGCATCAGGGAGAGGTGAGCCCTTTCCTGCAGGGCTTCCTCTGCCATCTCTGCAGGTGTCTCCCAGCAGAAGGTCATGAGCAAGTGAGGAAAGAGCCAGTGACTGTGTGGGGGGAGGGCGGCCAGAGAGGATTATGGTGATGGGGGCCTGACCTGCTCAGGTCAGTAACAAGGATGTGAACTTGCCTACCTCACTCACACTCTAGAATTGGACCTTGCCCTCAGAGAGCGAGAGTTTAACTTCATCTGAAGCCAATCGGCTGGTGTCTGATTTCCCCCATTTTTGCCACCTTGTTTTGTCTAATGAAGAACCCAACTCCCACTGACCTCCACCCAGTCCCCATCAGCTTAGTGAGATCTAACTAGCATGTAACTTTGTGTAATTTAAAGTATACCATGTGTTGATTTGACACATTTACATATTTGAGAGACTGATCACCACTGTAACTAATACCTGTATCATGTCCTATAATTATTTTTTCTTTTCTGTGGTGAGAACATTTAAGATCTCTCTTAGCAATGTTTAAGTACAAAATACATAGGATTATTAACTGTAAGCACTTTGTTTGCTTTCGATCCCCAGAACTTATTCATCTTTAACTGGAAGTCTGTACTGTTTGACCAATGTCTCCCCAATTCCCCCATCCACCAGCCCCTGTAACCACCATTCTACCCTCCATTTGTGTGAGTTTGGATGTTTAAACTTTTACATGAAGAAGTGACATCATATAGTATTTACTATCCTCCGTCTGACTAATTTCACTTAGCAAATGCCCTCAAGGTTCATCTGCAAATGGAAAGAGGTCCTTCTAATTCTCATGGCAAAATACACACACATGCACACATACACACATGCACACACACACAGGTGGGAAAAAGTAGGTTTATAGTTGTGAGTATGCAACGTAGTTAATTCTTGGGTTATTATTTATTAATTATTTACTGTTTTATTTATTTTGTGTACTCACAACTGTAAGCCTACTTCTGCCCATGCCTGCACGTCTGTCTCACATCACCTTTGTCTATTCATCCACACACAGAGCCTCAGGTGTTTCCACATCTTGGCTCTTGTGAGTAATGCTGCATTGAACATGGGAGTGCAAATGTCCCTTCAAGATCCTGTTCTCATTTCCTTTGGGTAGATTTCCAGATGTATCCTATGGTGGTGCTACTTTTGATTGCTGAGCACTCTTTATACTGTTTTCCATAGCAGTTGCCCCAGGGTACATTCCCACCAACAGTGCACAAGGGTTCCCTTTTCTCCACATCCTCACCAACACTTACTGTATCTTGCCTTTTTGATAGTAGCTGTTCTAACAGGTGTGAGGTGATAGCCCTTTGAGATTCTGATTTGCATTTCCGTGATCATTAGTGATGTTGGACACCTTTTCTTGGTGTTCATTTATATATTTTCTTTGGAAAAATGTTCAGTTCCTCTGTCCATTTTTTAAAAAAAATCCTCACTTGAGGACATTTTTGCATTTATCTTCAAATAGAGCAGGAGGAAGAGAGGGAGGAAGAAAGAAGCATCAATGTGAGAAAGACACATCCAGTGGTTGACACCCACACAACCCCAACTGGGGCCAGGGACTCTCCGGTTCATAGCTCGACACTCTAACTGCTGAGCCAAGCCAGCCAGGGCTCCTCTGTCCATTTTTAAAAATTGCATTGCTTGTTTTTTGCTACTGAGTTATATGAGTTCCCTATATATTTTGCATGTTAACTCATAAGATATGTGACTTGCACATGTTGTCTCCCATTGTATGGATTGACTTTTATTTTGTTTTTCATTTATTATTATTATTATTTTTAAAATTTTATTTTTGTTACAGATGTTTCTCCTTTTATACCCCATTGACACCGTCCTCCCCAACCCCCCCACCCTGTGCCCGGCTTTATTGTCCATGTCCATTGGTTATGCATACATGCATGTAAGTTCTGTGATATATCTCTTCCCTCCCCCCACCACTCCCTCTTCTGAGGGTTGACAGTCTGTACCCTACTTCCACGTCTCTGGGTCTACCATATTCCTCAGACT